ATAAAATTCACCTGGTACAAACACTTAAGGAAGACGATTTTGATCGGCGATTACAATTTTGTGAAGATATTAGTGAACGAATTATAAACGATGAACATTTTCTATTCAACACTTGCTTTTCCGACGAATGTTCGTTTTTCTTAAATAGCGTAGTAAATCGTCATAACTGCCGATATTGGTCGGATTCCAATCCCAGAATTTATCATAAGGTTCATACACAGCAGCCACAAAAATTAAATGTTTGGACTGGTATTTTTGGCGATCATTTAGTTGGTCCTTTTTTCTTACATGGAAATTTGACCGGTGAAATGTATTTGGAATTACTGGAAGACGCCATAGATCCTGCATTAACCGCCATAATTGAAAATCAGAATGATCGGCAGTACATTGCGAATAGGTTCATGCTCCAACAGGATGGTGCCCCACAACATTACGCATTACGTATCCGACAATATTTAGATCAGACGTTTCCAGATCGATGGATTGGTAGAAGAGGTCCCATTGAATGGCCCCCAAGATCGCCAGATTTACCACCTTTGGATTTCTTTATGTGGGGTCATTTAAAAACCAAAATCTATGCTACTCAGCCAACATCATTAGAGACCTGCGACAAAGAATTGTGAATGAGTGCCTTCAAATTACTCCTCAAATATTGCAAAATGTGTGGCAACGTTTTTGAGCAAAATCTTGTTTATTGCATGGAGAGTCATGGTGGCCATTTTCAACATTTACTTGCCTAACGGGTCAGTTGATTCTTCATTTTTAAATTACTTTGCTGCCAAATGTATTGATCTCCACTAAAATGTGTTAGTTTTATTTAAGCTTTAAATCAATAAATCAAAACTACTAAACTGAAGTACATTAATTTTATATCATTATAAAGGGAATTGAAAGACCTTTAAAATAAGGTATCACTCGACCCCCCTTTCCATTTAAGATTTTGGGGGTCGTGTCACCACCGCTTAGGAGGCTGCACGTGCTGACGCGATTTTTTGCCAAACTTGTGTCTCACTCGAAAACAAAGTAGACGAGTCTGAGCGTCTTTCCAAAAAAAAACTGAGCTGCCAGTAAATGCGTCTGTTTCATTTTCGATGCGCCACCCTGTATAGGTACGTTTGTCGACTATTTTAGTTTATGTGATCAAAGTCTTGATTTCTTTCCCGAAAAATCGCTAAAATAGGAGAAAATGGGTTTTTGTTGACTTTTTATATTCTGTGATGCTTTTGGTTACGAAGAGAATATTCCGATAACCTAGTAATATTATGCAGGTGTGCATTTTTTATGTTTTTTTTTTTAGTTCCGTTATCAAAATAATGATGCCGGGTCCGGAAAATTTCCAAAGATCAAAAAAACCGCCTTATTACTAATGTCATTCAATTTTAGATAACTATAGAGTATATATTTTCGTACATTCTTTTTCCCATTTTCGCAATTCACCGGGCGACAGATCCAAATGTTGACTATGGAACATGAAAGAATGGACAAACTCTCATGTGCTTATCGGGTTCTTAGGCCAACCTGCTTATGATATCCTACATTTAAAATGTAAAAAGCTGGAGAAAGTCGGTGAAAATCAGGTTTTCCGAATTTTCATCATATAACCAAAAATATTTTTTTCTCTTGAACCTAGTCATTCCACAAATCACAATGGAATTTTTTCTTTTTTGTTTTGAGAAAAATTGCGCCTGTAAAAAATTACTCACAAAAAGGCGATTTTGAGGTTAGGGGCCTCTAGGGGCGACCTATGAATTACAAAATTTGGCTAATATGATTTAATCCTACATACCATAATTTGGATCGATTCGGATACCTTTGAGCGCAATTTTCATATGTGGTTTCGCCTATAGCCTTTTCAATCAAGGCAAATTCGGTGTTTTTTGTCATGATGGGTTCACCAGCAACCCTTTCCTCAAATGTCACCATGGTTTCTTCCGCTCCAAGCAGGACGCCTCTGCAATTAGCAGGCGAGCGTCGACTTTGATGGAAACGGTGGCGGCGGTATCAGGAATAAAGCGAGAATATGATTGGTCACTTATTTAATTACATTCATCTATCATTTGCTGTCGACAATGTCTGACTTTGACCGATTGACTCTCCACCCGGCCTTCGGTCTACTATATCGAACTGGCGCGATGGAGTAGCAATATACACGTATGAGTTTTTCGAAGGTGTATCATGCGATGTGCATACAAGGAGGTCAGAAATTGTTATACCTAATATCACGACCGGTTGTCTCGACCGCTCGCCCTATTATTATCGATTCCTTAGGAAGCTTCACATACTCAAAAATACTGCTAGTTTAAATTGCATATAATAGTAAAACTTGTATATTTCTCAATTCTAAAAGGCTTATTCCTATAATCCAAAATATAAGGAAATTATGTCATTTTCTGTTTTTTGTTGGGTGTTGTACCGACCGCCCTCGCGCGTCGATGGTCGGTCGTGACACCACATGACATAAGTTCGGTTTCTGGGCTACGGTACTGGGCTGGACTACGCGATAGCCTTTCTATGTCGCATTCTTCCTTAGCGCTCAAGCTGAGGACTCTCAATATAATGTTTGTATCTGGGTATAGACTGCTGTAGCGATTTTATCGATATACAATATATGGAGAAGTTTTTCTATTTACCGATTCCGCTAATATTCCAACGATTGACATAACAATGGTTAATGGTTAATAATACTATCCGAAAGCAATCTTCCAACGATGGACACAATAGTGCTTATTGGTTGAATATTCTATGCGAAACAGTTGTGCTTTGGCTTGTATTAATATAATAATAAAGTTGACGATCGACACCATAGTTTTCAAAAGCCTCATAAGGTTCACTGTTTTGAAATTCAGGTGACACCTTATAAATTGATAATAAAAAAATCAGTTCATAAAGGATTAAGTTCAGCATAATCCAAACCCTAGGAGAACATATTAACTACGAACATATACAAAAGATAAATTAAATGGAACAAGTCAGTCAAACAGGCCCATACAATTAGTCCACAGATATTATTTCCCTGCCTACCGAAGTACCGTCATAGTACAAGCAGAATAACAAAGCAGACGCCGGGCGCTGAGCAAAAATGCCAGAAGGAGACGCGTAACAAAAACATTTCTCTATCATTGCTAGTTTTAAACACAATTGTACAAGGCAATCCATTTGGTTAATAGGTGTGTAGGAATACCGTGGTTGGGAGCGTATAAATATACTTGCGTGAGAAAATTGAGATACGAGTATATCCTTCTCCATCTCCCCACAACCCCACACCACCTAATTTTAGAAAAGGGAGTTTGAGCAATTTTTGTTGTTTACGCTTTTAGCTTTCTTCTCCGCCGTCACTTTCCAAAACCACAAAGTGTTTTCATTATTGGCATAGTCGTAACCTTAAATAGAAATTTCATCCAAGTCCGAGCAGTACTTTCCAGGTTATAGAGGAGCCAATGATTACTCGACAGACGGACAGACAGATCGTCGAAAATGAGTGTGTGTCAAAATCGTTTTTAAACAATGTTGGAATTTCTTCATTTGTCTGGCTATTTTGGTATGTCTATGAAATCGTCATTATAAAGCTAAAACAGAGACGGATTACTAGTTACATTGTTAGTAGATGTCTTATGGGGATTCGGTCTCAAAACTTCCAAAATCCGCCACCAGAGGCGCTGGCGTCGCGCGCCATTGACAGGTTGTTGGACGGAATCTGTAATCATGAGTTGGGGATTCCGCCGCTAGATGGCGCTGTCAAACCAAACGGAATCTGTGTGTCATTGGACACCTGTCATGCGTCATTGGGCATCTCACGCATAGATGGCGTTACACGTCATCTGTTATACGTCATTGGACACCTGTCATTGATGGGTTGGGCATCTCGCGCATAGATGGCGCCGATTTGTTTGGCGCTTTACAAACCAAACGGAATCTATGTGTCATTGGACAGCTGCCATTGATGGGTTGGGCATCTCGCGCATAGATGGCCAGATGTCGCACCTGTCTGGTGTTGGCGTGGATTACGGGGGGCAACGTGTATACAGGGGTGCATCGAAAAATAGCGGATCGATGGACCGACGGTATATCGTTAAATCGTATATAGCAAGGCGTGACCTAAATAGCGTGGTGGGCTCCTCTGGTCGGTCGGTCGGTCGGTCAGAATGTCTCATAACCTGTATACGATGTACTGTTATTATTATACAGGATGATACCGTTCAAAATGAAACTTTATGTAGTAGAATGATGGTGGGGGGGGGGTGGGGAGTCGAAGGAACCGACTGTTTTTTTTTTGTTTGACAACAGGCTGAATACGAAATAAACATAGCTTTCTGAAAAATGTATTTTTTAATGATATACAGATACAAGTTTAGATAACAGAGTTTTTAGTTGATGTAACAAATCCTCGCTGGGGCATGGTACTCCAAATAGAGTCCAATGAAATGGTCCGGTCGCAACAACTTTTCTTGTAAATTCATTAAATTTATAGTAAGTTGCGTGACGGAAAAAGTAAATATGGCCATCAATCCATCGAAATGCGAGAGAAATATCTTCAGGTAATTCAGGAAATATGTCTCTTATCCGTCCTCTGTTCAACACATCAGTAAAATCGTTAGAAAATTCTATATATGACATATTATTATAAAAGGTATAGGACCGTCCTGCGTTTGATTGAAAAATAGCATTGATTCGAGCCCTATCGGGTATATCAATTGAAAAATTATCAAGAAATTTAATGGTAGGGAATGATGCTGAGAAATAGTTGTTTGGAGACACAATGGTAATCAAGTCACCGTTTGTTGATTGGAAAATATGTTGTAAAGTGTATTGACGTAATTCTGTAGGAACATAATCGACAAGAAGTTCAGGCTGAGATGGGATAATCATTTCGTTTAAGTCTAGTTTCCATATAAACATATCATGTGCAATATATAATCGGTAATTTGAAAACTCTGGAGCAATAGCTAAAAACATAAAATCTGGAATAATATCACACAAATTTTTGAGGATCGGCTGCTTACGAGTTGTAGATCTTATAGTTGTTGTTGTTTTTGGTATTGCTGATGCGGTGGTAGACGTTGGGATTGAATCATATTTGTTTTTTCTTCCATATAGATATTGTACTGCATTTATATCATCAACATCTAGACCACGAATCTCATGCTGATAGAAGGCAAACATAATAGCATTCGGAGAAGCACTATGTGCTATGCCGAGGGCATGTCCAATTTCATGAACCAACACCATAAGAAAACTAGTTTGATTTTTGGGTATATTAGGATTATTTCCAAAATACCAGCGTTCATTTATATCTAAATGGATTTCTCTACAGGTGCCGCTAGAGTCAGGAAAGTATGCATGTCCTAAAACGCCGCCAGCATCATCTAATGTCAATGGACATTCATCATTACCCATACAGTTTGCGCTAAAATAATGAGTCTTGCTAACCATGGTTATAGTAATATCAGGAGGATATAGAGTGGGATTGGTAACCATTGTAAATGTTAAGTTTGAAACATTTTGCCACATCTGAAAAGCCATTTCTGCATCTTTTTGGGCCGCAGGTGTGTTTCGAGGGAAATACCATTTCAGGTCAGGTTTCCGAAATGGAAAACTTGCTCTAAATTCAGCATCACTGTATTGACAACGCGGACGATTCATAAATTCAATTGTTGCATTATTCAACAATCCATCCACTGGTAAATTATACTTTTCTTGCAAGTTAGTTAGCAAAGTAGAGAGATCTGTTGTATTATCGATGATATGTTCATATTGAGTTAGGTATACTATAGCGTCTTTTTCGGAGAAATCGTTGCAAAGCACGTATGTGAAAGTTGAAATAAAAAATAATACGTCTACCCACATCAACATCTTGATAGAGAATGATGTCAAAAATCTCAGATAGCAAATATAAATTCGTTTACCCCCCCAATCAAAATCTTGACTGAAAAAAAATTAGGCAGCAAATATACAATAATCATACACGAATTTCTATATTTCTAAAATTCTACTCTCATGTGCAACTTGTAATTGGAATTTCCGCCGGACAAACGATACATTCATGTATTACTAAGAAATTATATAAAAAATACTGCAACCGCAATGAATGTTGTTTTCTCGATAAAAATGGTACTGAGAATATGATGAATATAATATGCATATTTACGATACAATTATCTCATGCACGCGTGTGTCATCTCAACTACGTACTTATATTGAGCGAGCGCATGCAGTTTTCTCGATAAAAATGGTACTGAGAATATGATGCATATAATATGCATATTTACGATACAATTATCTCATGCACGCGTGTGTCATCTCTACTACGTACTTATATTGAGCGAGCGCATGCAATAGTCATCATTGTTTCACACTTAACGCACAACGCTGCAAGCTGCAACAACGACCGCAGTACAATTAGTGCTTCGAGAGAGACGAGAGAGCGAAAATTTTAAAAAAAGTAAGTGCTATTTTATTTAATATTTTTCTTTTTTATGTCTCTAAATGCAACTGTTTTTTTTTTCGTGTTATGCTTCAAAATAGTTAGACGACTCAATTTTTTTTATAGATGGATTTATCAAAAATTAATGCTGCGTCTTCGATTGTAGACCGCAAACCTATCAGAAAATTAAAGGACCTACCAGTTGGGACACCATTTGCAATCCAAGCAGCTAAAGTGGTCAAGTCGAAATTTGGGGAAGCCGTGCTACTAGATTTAGGACCGGAAGTGCTATTTCTACCACAGCGGGTGACGGAAACGTACCAGCCGGTCATCGACGAACTTTTTCACGGAAAATACTCGATCATCTTCCAAGGGGAAGTGGACGTAGGGAAAAGCCGACCGCTAGCATCATTCAAAATAGTGGAAAATTAACAAAGCAGAGAACAGGAGGAGGACAGGGTGAGCATTTTTATATATTTTTGAGTAATGTGTTTGCTTGAAAAAAAAAAATGTCGTCTTTTCAAATGTCTTCAAATAAGGTTAAAAAGATCATCAAACAAACAGACGGTGTTCTACTATCAATTGTTAGTCTACGGAAAATTTTATTTGATAATTTTACAATCAGAGACGCGGAAGTGTGGCTGAAACGAATAGAAAAACAAATTAGATTATGTAAACGGGTAATTCGTAGTAGAAGGCAAAATAAATTATCTGTAGGGACCTGTAGAAAAGTAGAAACAAATTTGGGGCATTTTAAACATTTTAGAAAGTTGATTTTAACTAGACATATTGGGGCAGGACTTCACTTAACATTGGGTCAGAGGGTTAGATGGGAAAATGTAGAATCGAGCTTTCAAAGTAGAATAAAAACCGGTTCCATAGCTAATTTGCGTCATAAGGACTTGAATCAATTTTTAGCAGATTGTGTAGTTGTTTTTAAAAGGAAAATTAGGAATATTTTGAACACCCATTGTGCGCTCAAAGTAAATACAACATTTTGCGGGGAGTTTATTAGGAAATCGGGGGATAATGAAATTTTGGGAATTAAATATATTAATACTAAAAATCATATTATTGATACATCAACTCAAATAGACGAGTGGTTTAAGATATATGTTAAAGATAAACTTTTAAACGAATTATCGGAATTTGCTGAAAAAGATTCGGGATTTGCGTTAAATAAAATTATTTCCTTAGTTGTTAATATCAGTAAATATCAATTGGGAAACGGTTCATCTTATATTAGACTACCAGAACCGATTATAAGGAAAAATGCTTGTATAAACATTAAAAATATAGATCAAAATTGCTTTTACTGGGCCATTGTAAGCGCTCTTCGGACTCCTAGCAATAAAAGACATGCAGAACTAACCTCCTCATATCCACACTTTACTGACGTTTTACAAACAGAAAATTTAGATAGTCCTATGCTGCTAACAAAAATTTCAAAATTTGAAAAGATGAATAACATTTCAGTCAATGTTTACGCTTTAGAATTGATCGAAACAGAAAAAAAATCATTTTACATAGTAGTACCAGCAAGATTAACGGAAAATAAACGGGATACGCATGTTAATTTACTTTTAGCTCAAAATAAATATTATCCGCGTTTAAATGATTATGATGCTCCTCCACCAGCGCCAGCAAATGAAGATAATGATTCAATCGATGAAATTAAATATCACTATTGTTGGATTAAAAATCTTTCGCGTCTTATTAGTAGCCAGTTAAATAAACATCGTGAGAAAAAATTTATTTGCGATAGATGTCTGAACTATTTCCATCAGCAAAATAAATTAGTTGAACATGAAAAACTGTGTTCTAAATTTAATAAATATAAAATTAACCTTCCTAAAGAGAGCTGCGTTGAATTTAAAAACTTTACATACCAACAAAATACTCCTTTTGTTGTTTATGCAGATTTTGAATGTCAATTAGAAAATCATAAAGAAAGTAGCGTCGTAAATTTAACTAAAACCATAAAATATCAAAAACACGTTCCGTATAGTGCTGGTTTCTATGTAAAATGCAGCTATGATGATAGCCTTTCTTATTTCGAGAGCTTTCGAGGTGCAGATTGTATGGATTGGTTTGCAAATCGTATGGCTGGTGTTGCGCAATTTGTAAACTCAAAAATAAAAACAAGCGTACCTATGATTGAAAAATTAGACACATGTAAGGCAACATCATGTCATATTTGCGGTAAGAGATTTTCAAAAACAAAAAAAGACATAATCGTTAGAGATCACAACCATTTCAGTGGAGAGTTCAGAGGTTACGCACACCAAGCATGCAATCTGAACTTTAGAAAATTGTTTGTTGTGCCGGTTATATTCCATAATTTAAGTGGGTACGATAGTCACTTTATGATTTCGAATTTATGTAAACAAGGTCGCTTAAGTCTACTTCCCATCAACAAAGATAAATACATCTCCTTTACGCTGCACTCAGATGAAAATAACATTAAATTGCGGTTTATAGACTCTTTTCGATTTATGGGGGCGTCTCTTGATGAATTAGCTTCAATTTTAGCAGTATCAGAAAAGAAAATTTTACAAAGGGAATTTCAAAATTTAGATGAAGATAAATTCAAATTATTAACACAGAAAGGAGTTTTCTGTTACGATTACATTGATTCGTTGAAAAAATTAAATGAAACGACTTTGCCCCCAATTGAAAAATTTTACAATAAATTAAACGATGAAAGTGTAAGTGACGAGAAGTATGCTCATGCGCAATCTGTTTGGCAACAGTTTAACATTAAAACATTAGGAGAGTATTCTGATATATATTTAAAAACAGATATTCTGCTTCTTGCCGACGTTTTTGAGCAATTGCGTAAAAAATGTTTCTCCACCTATGGTCTGGATCCTGCGTGGTACTATACAATGCCCGGATATACGTGGGACTGTATGCTCAAATACACTGGGTGTAAGTTAGAACTACTAAAGGATCTAGATATGGTGATGTTTTACGAAAATGCTATAAGAGGTGGAATTTCGGTGTGTAGCAACCGATTTTCGGAGGCCAACAATAAATATATGCCCGAATATGATCCTGAAAAGCCGTCCAAGTACCTTATGTACCTGGATGTGAATAGCTTATATGGGAATGCTATGCAGCAACCCTTACCCTACGGAGGGTTCAAATGGGTAGATGATGTAACATCGTTTGATGTGATGTCAATACCCGACGACTCTGACGTAGGGTACGTGCTACAAGTCGATCTATCGTACCCACAAGAACTGCACGATAAACACAAAGATTTTCCGTTTGCGGCAGAACGTAGCGTACCACCCAGCGACGGCGGGGTAAAATTGCCGAAATTAATGGCAACACTTACGGATAAAAAAGAGTACACGGTTCACTATAAAAATTTAAAACAAATGCTAGCTAATGGGTTAAAGTTAACGAAAATCCATAAAATTTTACAATTTAAACAAGCAGCCTGGCTGAAACCCTACATCGAGTTGAATACTCGATGTAGAGCTGCAGCCCGGAATGATTTCGAAAAAAATCTTTTTAAATTAATGAATAATGCAGTATTCGGTAAGACCATGGAAAATATACGTAAGCACCGCGTATGTAAAATCGTTAAATCTTGGGGTGGTCGCTATGGGGCAGCAAACTTGATTTCGAGTTTTCGGTTCCACAGTCGCACAATTTTAGAGGAAAATCTGGTGGTTATCGAATTGAACAAGGCTGAAATAACGTTTAACAAACCTCTGTATGTAGGGCAGGCAATTCTAGACCTATCGAAACTAGTCATGTACGATTTTCATTACACCTATATGCTACCAAAAATGGGTGCAGAAAGGTGTAAGCTCATGTACATGGACACAGACAGTTTTATCTACGAATTGCAATGTGAGGATGCATATGAGGAGATCATTAAAGCTGATTCGAGTAAATTTGATACTTCGGATTATCCTGAAAATAACATATATAAAATACTGCGTAAGAACAAAAAGGTGCCGGGTCTA